CACCTCGTCCTTCAGGCCGGCGGAGGCCAGGCCTCCTCTGTGCTGTCGCCCAGTCGCCCTCAGCCCACGCTGCTCCCTGGTGAGCTGGGGACCACTCTGTCCTCTCGCCCTCCTCACCCAGGCTGCACAGTCCCCTCCTCCAGGAGAGTTCTGGGCCATGCGGCCCTACCCAGTCTTCCTCTCCGGTGCTCGCGTGGCTCTTGGGACAAGGGGCCTCACCTCACTGCTGTTTCCGGCCCAGCTCCCTGGAAGCGGGCGCTTCACATCACTACTTCACAGCCAGCGGCTCCGGTCTGGGCCCACAGCCCTGGCCGGTGGCACCCCCCATCTCCTGCTGAGCTGCTGGCAAAGGACAGGGCGGGCGGCAACTGGCTCTTGGCAGAGGCAACCCAGAACTTTCCAGACCCGGGTGGGCCCTGGACACCCCCCCCCCCCCAGCTGAACGGCCGCTCAGCACCGGGGCAGCAGCTCTCCACTAGGTCCCGGGCGGCCATCCGGGGGCTTTCACAAGACCCAGTGCCCAATGCCAGCACCCAAACGCTCTGCGGTTTCCTGCCTTGTCTGCACGGAGCCAGGGCGGGGACCCTAGAAGCTGCCGACCCTGTGTGATGGCGACAGGAACGACAGGCCCCGGGTACCGGAAGCGGGGGCCGACGACGGCTCCCCTCCTCTAGCCCCTCCCGAGCGCGCCTGATCGCGGGGCGGAGGGCGGGGGCCTGTGCTGCGGGTGATGCTGGTCTTTACAGCGTGTGACCCGAGCGAGGCCGGCAGCCCGGGCGGCAGCCGCGGCCGGAACGCCAGCGGGCTCGAGCGCAGGGGAAGAGCTGGACTTGGTCCCACTTGTCTCGAGCTCCTCTGCGGCGCACAGCGACAGCCCGTGCCCGCGGCGCGCTCCGCCAGGTCCACCCCCGCGCCGCACTCGCTGCCCTCGAAGAGCCTCAGGTGCGCAAGGACGGGAAGGCGGAGCAGCCGCGTGGGGGACGGAGGACAGGCTGTCCGAGGGGCTCTCGCCCACGTCTGCTGCAGGGCAGCGGCAGCGCTTCCTGCGGGCACCGACACGGGGCCCCCGGCCGTGCCCCGCCGCGGCCGCAGCCGTCCAGCCAAGCGGTGCCGGGAACGCGCCCGCCCGAGCGCACCACGCAGCCCGCGGGACCCCCGCAGCGGCTCGCGGCCCTCGCAGCTCAGCGGCAGCCGCGCTGTGCGCTCACGCCGAGTCCCGCGCCCCGGGCTGCCTCCCGGCCTCCGCCCGCAGCTCCTTTCCCTCCGTCCCCGCCTACCCGCTCCCGCTCGGCCTCTGCGGCCCCCCGAGACCCGTGCCCGCTGGGGACCCCGCGCCCTGCGGGTCCCCCCACCCCCCGGACCGGGGCGCTCCGGCAGACGGGGCCCCGCGCAGCCCGAGGCTCCGGCCCGACGCTTGCGCCCGCCCGCTCCGCTCGGGACTTGGCCCTCCCCGGCCTCCCGCGGACCAGGGGCAGCCCCGGGCCGACGTCGCGTCCCCGCGGGGCGCGCCCACGCCGCTCTCACGGCGCCGCGCGCTCACCGAAGATCTCCCGCGAGTGCTGCTCGGCGCATACGCCGCGGCTCAGCTCCCTCTGGCCAACCCGGACCTTCAGCTGCAGCGGGACCGCGTCCGCGAACGGACAGCCCCGCTTGGGCATGGCCGCGGGCCGGCAGCGGCGCCGTTCAGCCGCGCGTACCTCGCCGCGACCGGTGACGTCACAGCCGCGCGCCAAAGCGGCGCGGCGCGGGATAGGCCGGGGGCAAGCGCGGAGGCGGGGCTCGAAAGCGGTGCTGCGCGGGATAGGCCGGGGGCTAGGGCCGAGGCGGGGCTCGAAAGCGGTGCTGCGCGGCATAGGCTGGGGATCACGGAGGCGGGGCTCGAGCGCGGCGCGGGATAGGCCGGAGACGGGGCAGGGGCGGGGTTGAAGGCGGCGCGGCGCGGGATAGGCTGGGGACGAGGGCGGGAGCGGGATGGGCAGCGCGGGAAAAGTCGAGAGTGGGCGGGGCCCCGGTTGCAGCGTGGCGAGGGATGGGCCGAAGGCAAGGGTGTGGGGCGGGGTTCGGAGGGGGCCCGGCGCCGGATAGGCCGAGCGTAGCTTGGAGGCGGAACCGGTGCGCCGGGGGCGGGCCTTGTGGGAGGTGCGCCGCGGGATAGGCCGAGCGCGACCCGGACCTGGAGTCGGAACGCGGCGTGTGGGGATGGGCTGGGGTCCCGTGGGGGGCGGGGGCGGTGGCTCAGCTTTTGCAGGGCCGCGGTCCCTACACCCCTGTTGGAACTGGTACAGTCCCTTGTTTGTCACCGGCGCTGGAGGACGATTCGCGTTTCCTTGTTTTCAGTGGAAGGGCCTCCCGGAAGTGGCCGCGCGTCACTACCGCGGTTCCGGGGCGTCACGTCCCTTCCCGCCGCGGGAGGGCGGCGCGGCCCGGGGCCCGTGTGGGGCGACCGTGTGGGGCCGCCGTGCGGGGACCGGCAGGGGTGTGGGCTGCGGTCGTGCGGGGCTCGGCACGTGCTTCGGCGGCTGTGTGTCCGCGCGCGCCAGGCGGGGCTGAGGGGCGTCGGGGACCCGGCCGGCCTCGTGTCCGCCTGCTGCCGCCCCGGCCCCCTCGCGAGCGCCCCCGGCGACCTCCGTCCCGCAGGTCCCTAGAGTGGAGCTGCAGCGCGCGGGGCCGGTGCGGCTGTTGCGCAGCCTCGGGAGGGAGCGCAGGCGCGGCCGCGGCCTGAACCTGCGGGACGGAGGCGGGAGGCGGCCCCGCAGCTCCGTGCCGGGAAGACGCGGGTCAGCAGCCGAGGATCTTCCGTGCAGCTCGGACCCGGCGGCCGCGGGGGCCCCGGCCCAGCCTGGAAGGACGGCCAGGCCCTGCCGCGCTCAGGGGCCGGGGTCGCGCGCAGCCGGCGGGGCCTGGGACGGGTGGCACAGCGGGGAGGGACGCGCGGGAGAACGGGCCGGGGTCGGTGCTCACGGGGAGCCCGGACGGCGCGGCCTCAGGGCTGACGCTCCTCAGACGGGGGCGGACTCGGTTCCCGTTTCCCGGTGCGGCGGCGGGGCGTCCCTCCCGGCGGGAGGGACGGTCGCCTCGGGGCCGCAGGGTTGTTTGGAGCCGGCCGTGCGGCGGGACGAGCCCGGGCCGCGGAGGCGGGGGCGCAGCTTCCTCGGTGCAGCCGTACCCCTGCCCGGCGGACACTCGCTGAAGCCCCGGGGACGGCGCCCGCTCCACCCCGCCCTGCGAACGCATGTGCGGGCGCCGCGAGAGACGGCTCTGCTCTCGGGCCCCGCAGCGCGCGGCCGCTTCCTGCGCCACGTCCAGACCCGCGCGGCGGCTCCTTCGCGGCGAGCGGTCCGGGGTGCGCGTGGACCGGCTGTCCCCGGCCCGTGGGCGCCTGGGCGGGCTCCGGGTTGGGCTGCGACGAAGGCCGCCGTCCGACTGCCGGTTTGTGGACGCGTCCGTGTGTTGTGGCCGGCGCGAGCGGCGGCGTGGCTGGTGGCCGCTGAAGGCCGTTGGGGGGCCGGCCGCGTCCAGAGCCCAGAGTGCTTGGAGGAGCGGAGCCGCCCGTGTCCACCGCCCGCTTGTCCTTGCCTCGGGCGCCGAGGGCGACCGCTCGAGCCCCTCGGGGCCGCCGAGACAGCGCCTTATCATCTCTCCAGCCCTGGGCACACCTGGTGCCGGAGAAGGGGCCGCGAGAGTGAGGAGGTCGGTGCCAGGGAAGAATCCTCGTCCCCGGAAGTGGCCTGTACAGCGCTGCAGACCCGCGGGGACGCTGCCCGAGGCCGCCCCCCCAAGATTCTGTCGAGAGGTAGAAGGGAATCAACAATTCGTCTTCAAGCGCGGGATTCAGCAGCCCCTGCAAGGTAAAGGTTTGGAAGCCTTTCTGCAGCTAATTTAAATTGCAGGGTAACCTTGCAAAGCCACGCTGGGAGTTTTTACACGGAATGAACAATTTTCTTCTGAAAAATGCCTACTCTGGTTCTCGGTCAGAGGCGTGCACTTGTGCTGTGGCAGGACGCGGCCACGCAGCGTCTCTGCAGAGGACCGTGTGGGGTCCCATGCAGCGGAGGGGACGACCTCTCTTTCCTGAAGATCCGACACCGGCCTCGGGGCTGTCCTCCCGCCCCTCTCAACATACCGTGGAAAGAAGTGATTCTCGGAAAACAGTTTCTGCTGGTGCCTCTCGCCCCCGCCTCCAAGTAGCATTGCTGCTCCTCGCTGACTTCAGCCCAGAGAAACTGGTTGTAGCTCCTCTGAAGTCACTCACGACTGTTGCGGGCACTGCTTGGAGCGGTTCGCTGGTGCGCGAAGTCCCAGGACTTTCCGGATGGAGCCTGCACTGTAAAGGTCCTGTCACGTGGTCAGCATGTCCCACCGGACTGGAGCCCCTGGACCCGTGTGCTGCCTGGGAAGAAAGCCCCGTGGGCCCTCCACCCATTTCCTGGAGCCCGAATGACAGTGTCAGGGTTACGAGGCTGGGATTTAACCCTGAATTAGATGGGTTCCCCCCCATCTAGTTCCTTCCCTCTCCCAAATGATAGCGAAGGGGCGGTTATTTTTCTAAATTTACCCAGACCTGGAAGAGTTGTTCAAGGAGGTCACTCAGCTTCTAGTGGAGAACACAGTAAGCTCGTGCAGCTGTGGCCACTCAAGTCGCTTATTCAGTCCAGTGGCCTCCAGAGGGATGAGGGCAGCTGTGCGCAGCCGAGGTGGAGAGGGGCTGCTGGGGGCTGCCCCCGGCCCTGGCACGGCGCTTAGAGTTCAAGGGGGGCATTTCTGTAATGGTTCCCTTTTGGGAGGCACTGAATGCCCGTGGTCTCGCCTACCTGGGCCCGTTCCCGTCTGAGCAACGAAACAGCTTGGCTCTGTGATCCCAGAAACGTGCGTCACCCAGACCACTGTCCCCAATAAAGTCAAAACGAAAGGACAGTCAGAAGCAGACACAGACTGACACCACCATTCAGTGGCTACTGGGTGTGTTTATTACTCAGTGGCTCCAGCCGGCCATACAACCATGGGACTATTAATGTGCCGTCAAAGTTCTCTGTTTGGAGTGCTTCTGCTCGTTTTCAGTAGCAGGATTTAAAAAGAAAAAAATGGACGTGACGCTGGCTGTCAGATGTTGGGATCTCTGTAGAAACCTGTGGCTGAGCTGAAGGCTTAGCGAGGAATATAAAAGTACAGAAAATAATTTTCCTACTTCTTTCCGGGCGCTGACTCTGGCTGTCAAGGTGGGACAGGACCGCTGGGGACTGCTGGGCCAGCGCTGTCTCTGTCTAAAACAGCTGGATCATCGAGTCCCTTGATTTGCCAACACCAACCCATTTCACTGGAAGGGAACAGGGTCGCTCAGCCCCGGAGGTGGGGGGCAGAGGGCAGGGCGGTGGCCGGGACACGGGCACCCACCTGCCACTCCAACGTGATTCTCCACGAACCGCACGTAGTTCTGGGCCTGTGGGGGCAGGTCCTCCCACTTCCTGGCACCCGTGGTGTCCGCCTTCCACCCGGGCAGCGTCTCGTACTCAACTTCAACCTTCTGCAGTATCTCCTGGTTCGCTGGGGAGACAGAGGGCGGGGAGGTAACCCACTTCCCAAGGTGCTGGTGCTCCGGTCGTCCACTGGGGGGCCCGCTTGCCACAGTGGTTAGCCGGGGGAAGGCATGTGGCCCTGTTTGCTGTGCGGTGGGGGGGGGGGGGGGGGGGGGGTGGGGAATGGTCCTCGGACATGGGCTGCACCCCTTCCAGACCACCCTGCACATGCACTTGATAAGGGGTCTGCTAGAACGCCCACAGGTGACTCAGCTGAGGAATTCCATGGACCCCACTTGGAAATTCTTTTCTTTTTCAGATTTTATTTACCCATTTATTTAGAGAAAGTGTGCAAGGGGCTGGGGCAGAGGAAGAGAATCTCCAGCAGGCTCTGCCCTGAGCACAGAGCCTGACTCGGGGCTTGATCTCACAATCCCAAGATCATGCCCCAAGCCAAAATCAAGAGATGCTTAACAGACTGAGCCCCGCCAGGCGCACCCCCTCCCCGCAACTTGGAAACTAAAGGGTCCTGAAGCATGAAGGGATCCTGAAAGATCTCTGTCCTGTTCCCAGTGCAAGGACCCTGCTCCAGCTGGCAGTCTGTGGCTTCCAGCCCACGACACAGTAGATGCCAGCCATCCCTCACTGATGGAAGGTGCCGGAACATGTCTATCGCGGGGTCTTCCCTGCACGCTCCCCAGGGCCCTGGATCTCTGGGCTCACACCAGACCCTTGCTGTGCCTTCTCCAAGGTCAGGGGTCAGAAGGGTCAGGGGATGCAGGCCAAGAGGACTGGGGGGTCTACACGTGTGCTCAGAGGAGAGAGGGCTGCTAGGGGGAGTGCGGTCAGAATGGGAACTGTCACCTTTGTGCTTTCTAAAAGAAGGGGCGCACGGTAACAGAAAACCATTAGGTCTTAAATAACTGAAAACCATGTTTTCTTTGGTAAGACAGTCATCTTTACGTTTGCACAAAGCAGTCCATGCCCGCCCAGGGAGCTTCCAGGGCGCCCAGGAGCTGGGCCTCGGCAGTGCCTAAGTGTCCCCGGGGTCTGGAGTGAGCGGGGCTGGCTCCCACTGGCCCCCCCAGTCTGCAGAATCACCCCTTCTCCTCTTCCCATGCAACAGACAGAAAAGCCACCACCTCCCTGTACCTGGGAAATAGGGGATCCTTTTTCCGTTCAGCTTGTATGAGACGCCGACCTTCACCTCGTCCAGGGCATCCAGGATGTCTAGTTTTGTCAAGGCCAGCCTGTCCCCAAGCCAGCAGATGGAGCTGCACTGCAGAAGCCTGCACACCTGCGTGTCCCCTCTACTGACAGTCACCAGCAAGTGTAGACGCGGTGAGCCCAGAAACACGAGGCCGGGCTTGGGGGCATGGCTTCTGTCTGGCTGAGGTCTCCTCCCCTTGGGCGCCCCCATGGGACCCTGTTCCCATGGCCCTGGCGGCCCTCTGACAGGGCCGCATGTGGGGTCTCAGCGCTCCTCCGTGGCCAACAGCCCCAGGGACACCCAGGGACTGTGTGGAGCCATCGTTCTTTCTGGCTCAGGCCCCCCGCTTCCGCCTTCCCTCTCCTTTCTCCTTCGCGGGCCCTCGTGGGCGGGTCTCTCTGTGCTTCCTGTGCCCGCGGTGGCCACCCCGGTCCTCTGCTCTGTGGCAGCCGCGGCAGGCACCTCAGTGCTGAGAGTGCAGCCTCTTCGCCACTTGGCCCCAGTGCGGGGACAGTGTTGCCCTCCCACTGCCCAGCCCCACACACCAGCAGATCTAACGGAGTTCTTGACAGTCAGGCCTGGCCAGGCCCCGTGGAGAAGGTGTCCTGTCCCCGAGGGCCACGGTGGAGGCCCTTGGTGCCAGGCTCACACTCCCTCTCTAGACGATCGACCTTAACCTCCGGGTGCCAGGATGCCCTTGGGCCGCCCCCTTCCCTGCTCAAGCTCAGGAGCTGATGGCCTGCTCGCGTGTCGCCCGCCGTTGTGGCCCTGCCGCGGGGTGGGGGGGAGTCTGGCCAGCACCCCGACATCGCACGTGTGGGAAGGGCTGCTTACGCGGTGAAGCCGTTGACCATGTGCGCGTATCTGAGAATCATCAGGTCTAGCCAGCCGCAGCGCCTCTTCCTGCCTGTGGTCACCCCCCACTCGTGGCCACGGCTCTGTAGCAGGTCTCCTATTTCCTGCGTGACAGCAGAGCAGGTCCATGGCCGCGTGAAGGGGGGAGTCTGCGCCTCGCTTCTGAGCTCAGCGCTTCTCTCCGCTGCCTCCCCTTCCTACCCCCTCCTTCCCACACTGGCCTTACATGACCCTGCTCAGGACCAGAGCCTTGGGCCCTCGATGCCTCCCGAGAGGGCCCCTGAGCCGCACCACCTGGGGTGCTTCCTGGGGAAAGTGGGTCCCCGGGAGCTTGCGTGGTGCAGGGCTGTTGGAACACGCCACCTCGCGCGCACCTGCAGCCGCCTGCCTCTGCACTTGCCCTGTGTGTCTCTGCACACCCCACCCCTGGGCACCCGCATGGCTCTGTGTCCCCCTGCTGTGATCCTGCTGGGATGGAGACTCACATTGATCTGCTCGGTGGGGAAAGCCCCAATGCCCACGCGTGTGGTGTAGGCCTTCACCACGCCATAGACCTCGCCTATGTTCTGTGGGGGGATGCCCAGGCCCGTGCACACGCCGCCCACGGTGCAATTGGAGGACGTCACAAAGGGGTAGGTCCCTGCAAGACAGAGCCAGTCAGGGGCTGCCTGCCACCCCTGCAGACCATGCTGGCCACGGGCTCCGGCTTGGCAGAGGGCAGTGGCCAGCCTGGTCCCCAGCAGGCAGGAAAGGGTGAGGTTTCATTGAGATCAGCCAGGCTGGGGACCTACCGAAGTCAATATCAAGGAGGGCTGCATTGGCACCTTCCACGAGGATTTTTTTTGGGGTGCCATGGAGCGCCTCGTACATAAAGTAGACGCCGTCTCGCACCATGGGTCGGATCCGTTCAGCAAAGCCCTGTGGGGCAGGCAGAGGAGGCTGGGGACGGGGGCCAGGCCTCTCCGGACAGCCTGAAGTTCTAGGGCATTCCTTTCCCGAAAGGGGCTTGCCCTGCAAGTCTGTCCCGAGATGTGGAACGGCCCCCAACCCCCAGCCCGTCTGGGTCCTGTCTGCGAGGCTCGCAGTGGCCTCCTCCTGCAGCCACGGGCTGAATTGTCCCCTACCCCCAACTCCGTCCACGGTTCATCTGTTGAAGTCCTGACCCCCAGCAGCTCAGAAGGTGACCGTATGTGGAGACATGCCTTCAAAGAGGGGATTAAACTGAGGAAGGGCTTTGTGTTCTCCTCACCCTGTGCTGCTGCTCTGTGTCAGCAAGGCCACCTCTATCCGCTACCCCAAATAGGACAGGGACAGCGTCTTTCCCCAGAATGTCCTGGGAAATGTCCCCTGGTCCCCGGGCCTCCGGCGGGGGGGACCCTTCTGCCTTCAGTGGCCTGGGTTTGCACAGGAGGCCTGTGGTCCCCAAGAGGGCCAGCCACCCCACAACAGTACCTGTGACAATATGTCCCTGCCCGTTCCACTGGCGTCTGACAGCAGAGCTGCGCCTCTGTGGGGCGGGCCCGCCGCTCCCCGGCCCCGCCCCCGCCACTGTCCTGTTCCTGCGCCACGTCACGACCCCCAGACCCCAGCGCCCCCTCCCCCCCCCGGCTCCCGCCGAGCCCCCTCCGCCCTGCCCCCCCCTCACCCCCGCACCACGGGTCCGCCCGCCGCGCGGGGCCTCGGCTCTACCTTGAGCCTTTTGAGTTGCCCTTCGACGTCCACTTCCAGGCTGGGGAACATGGACTGGTGCTGGCGGGCCAGGTTCTTGAATCTGCGGGGGCAACAGTGACTGCGACCCCGCGCCCTGCCTGGTGTCCGCGCCCGCAGCTCCAGCCGCAGTCCCCCCTCAGGCTGCGTGCGGCGCCGGTACCTGGCGGAAAATTCATCGAAGTCCGACAGGAGGTCACAGACACGGAGGCCCACGCGGGCGGCCTTGGAAGAGTAGGCGGGTCCGATGCCCTTCCTGGTGGTGCCGATACTGAAAGACAGGTGGCCATGAGCCTGCGGGGTCGTCCCACGGCCTGCGGGGCCATTCCACGGTCTGCGGGGGCCCGTCCCACGGCCTGCGGGGCCTGGAGGACCCGCTCAGGTGCCAGGCAGCATCCCTGTTGTAAACAAGGGTTGAGCTGGGAGGGACGGTCCCCAGGGCAGCACCTGCAGTCTGGGACAGCTGTGAAAGCCCACTGCCCCCTCCACTGTCCCTCAGGAATCGGGGCTGGGGCCCCCACAGGGGTCCTGGGCCAGGCGTGGCCCTCCCCATCCTCCATGCCTTGGCTCTCTGATGTCCTGCCTGCTCTGGGCCCCAGCTTCCCCCTGGCCGGGCACAGAGGATGCTGCCGTCCGGGTCTGCCAGCCGCTGCTTCCCCAGGGGCTGGGCGCACTGGCCGTGTCCACCTTGTGCCCACTGGCGGCCACCGCCCTCGCCCCGGGCTCAGTGAACAGCCCACTCAGCTTCCACCTGGCACATGTGGCTATGAGTGTGTGTGTGGTCTGAGCGTGCACACACGTGGGCGTGCGTGCACACAGGTGGCCAGTGAGCGTGGTGGGGCAGGACGCCCCTGGCTTCGCCCTGTCCTGGCTGGAGCACCAGCGCCCTGCACATTCTCATAAATATCTTCGGAGGGCAAAGTCACAGCTGTGTGTGCTGGTGGGGCCAGGGTGTGGGGGGCCTGTGTATGGGGTCAGGCTGTGCTGGGTGTCTGTGGTCGTGGTGGCTTCAAGGGGACCCTGTCCCCCCAGCTGGCACACTGCAGAGCTCCCAGAGACAGCCACCGAGACAAGAGGAGTCCCTGGAGATACTCACTTCTTGCCCTCCTGGGCCTGCCGTTGCACTTCCTGCAGTCCGTCGACGGCCTGGTGAAAGTCAAACACTGCGCGGCCCGGTGAGAGTGCCAGGTGAGGGACGGACACCGGGTTATGGGGCTCCCCTGCCTGTGCCCAGGCTGCCTGGGGCAGGTGGTCCAGTTTGAAAGGGGACACACTAGGGGCGCCTGGGCGGCTCAGTGGGTTAAACCTCTGCCTTTGGCTCAGGTCATGGTCTTAGGGTCCTGGGATCGAGCCCTGCATTGGGCTCTCTGCTCAGCGGGGAGCCTGCTTCCCCACCCCCTCTCTGCCTGCCTCTCTGCCTGCTTGTGATCTCTCTCTGTCAAATAAATAAATAAAATCTTTAAAAAAAAAAAAGGGGACACAGTAGAATCTGCCTCTGCCCAACACATGCTCACATGTGACCGGGAGTTCCTTTGGGCCTCAGTTTTCCCATCTGCCAATGGGGACCGTGATTCCAACCCCCTGCCTACTTGGCAGTTCTCGGAGAAGGCCCTATGGGGCTACGTGGGCTCACTGTGCGGGGGAGAGGCCACCGCAGGGCGGCTGTTCCCGCGGCAGGCAGCCGTGCCGGTGCTCAGCAGTGCCGGTGCTTACCGAGGTGCGCGCGGTCGGAGATGACGAGCCTCTTGTCCCAGTCCTTCAGTCCTGCGGTCACACGGCAGGTGGTCAGCCATCCAGGGCAGCTTGGCCAAGGCTGGGCAGCCAGCCCAGCTCCCACCCAGGGCAAGAGTCCACAAAGATCATGTGGGGGTGCCCTCCCCTCATGGCCCCTCTACCCGCTGAGGGCCGGGAGTCTCACCCCCAGCCCCCTGCGGGACCTCTGTCCTGGCACTTCTGGCGCTCAGGCCCAGGGTCGGGTTCCCGTTTTCTCTTCCCTCTCCTTTCTGGAACTCAAGCCCGGAGGCCCAGCCCTGCTTCCTCCTCGGACCCCATCAGGGTCTCTGGGCTGCCCCCTCTAGACTGTCCTCCCAGGGGGCAGCTTGCCCAGACACCCTGGCCGGTGGCCTTGGTCACTGCCTGCCTCCTGGCCCCAGGAACCCCCAGGAACCACATCTTTCCCTGTAGGCGTGGTTGGCCCAGTGGTCCCCCAGCCTGGCCGGACATCGGGTGTCCTGGGAAGCTTCATCAAATTCTAGGTCCCAGGGCCCCTTCCAGACTTCCTGAGCGGGATCCTCCAGATGCCCCTGTCCCCAGAGTCATGAAAACTCCCCATAAACACTGAGGCCCACGGCCGTACTTCGGGCCTTGCGTCCCGAGTGCAGACCCAGGTTTTGCACAGGCCGAGCCAGCGGGAGGCGGGTGGGGCTGCTGAGCTGGGGAAAGAGATCCCCCACCCCCCAAGAACGCCCGCGGGAGGCGCTGGCCACCGCACTGCTGGGGACGGGCCCAGGCCAGGGTGCGTGTGCGCGGACTCAGACTTACCTTTCTTCTCATTTTTTTCTGCTTCTTCGAACAAGCCGGGTAAGTGGACGACCACCCCGTTGCCTGCAACACAGCACAGGGGACTGAGTCGCACGGCAGCCGTGGCAGCCTACATTGAAGGGGATTCTGCCACCTGCCACAACACGGACGGACCTTGAGGACACTGTGCCGAGTGACCCAGGCAGGTCCAAAGGACCGAGACCCTGTGTGATTCCACTCATGGGGGTCCCTAGAGGAGTCCGATTCACAGGGACAGGAAGGGTGATGCCAGGGGCTGGGGAGAGGGACAGGGTTAGTGTTGAATGGGGACAGTTTCAGGCTGGGGAAACGGAAAGTTCTGGAGACGGGCAGAGTGAGTGAGCTTCATGGCACCGAGCTCTGCGTGTCGGAGCGGCTGAGCTGGTGGGTTATAAGGTGTGTGTCGCAGCAGGAGAAGCGGCGAGACCAAAGCAACAGACGCAGGTGCAGAGCCTGGGCGCGGGGGCGTCCCAGTGAACCGCGGAGAGCACTGCCAGGAGTGCGGACCGAGCCCCGGAGCGGAACCGTGCTGAACTTCAACAGCACGGAAGCCTCAGGAAGCTGGGACGGTTCACTCGAGTGGTGTGAAAATGGTGTGAAAGACCCTTCCCGGCCCGAGCAGGACTCTGGGGAGCCGAGCCTTCCCTCCTTGGGACGCTGAAATGCCATCCGTGGACATTGTTCACAGGCGCGGACTGAGGCCCAGAGAGGGAAGGCGACTGGCCCCAGGTCACACAGCATGTTGGTGTGGGGTCCAGGCCGAAGCGAAATGCTGTCCCTTTTCTCTTAGACCGAAGGCAGCCAGCCGGGCCACCTGCTGTCTTCCCAGGAGGAGCCCTCCCCCTGCCCCGCCTCCCCGGTCCCCACGAGGGCTGCCGGTGGCGGCGTAGGCTCCGCCAAGGGAGACAGGGTGTGGGTCCAGATGGCAGTGGCTCAGACTGTGCAAGTCCCGCCAAGTACAAAAGGTCACCTAATGCCAGGGCGTCCTGAAGTGGCCACGTGGCAGGGGCCCAGGGAGTGTCGCAAGCCGAGGGGCAGCTGAGTTTGGGCACGTTCATCCCCTGCTGAGCACGCTGCCGGGCGCTCCTGCGATGCTCCCGCGACCGCACAGCCTGGGCTCCGGCTGCTGACCCTGACTCACCCCAGCTCCAAGTAGGGCCTCCCTGGCCTCGCTTCCCACCAACTTGGGCACAGGGCCCAGTGCGTGAGGCTGGGCCAGGAGAAGGCTGCAGGAGAGCCTCCCCCCGAGCCCCACTCTGGGTGAATCCCCGCTGTCACCGTGCCGTCCTCGCCCACATGGCGGCCCGGGTCTGTCCCCCTGAGCAGCCTGACCGCATGCGGCCCCTCAGCCAACACTCCGCTCCCTTCGGCGGCCTGTGCCCTCACTGGGCTTCCCAACCCGGGACAGGGGGTGGGCACAGAGAAGCACGTGGTGGTCTTGGTCGGCTCCGGAAGGAGCCAGCGGAAGTGTCCTGGCGCTGCAGGAGAGCATCTGGATCGCGTGGGCTGCTCTAGGCCGGGGAGGCTCCGTCTAGAGCCGAGGGGGAAGGGAGGGAGGGGAGAGGGGGCAGAGACAGAGAGAGCGGGAGACCCCACAGTCCTAGAGGCTGGAGGGACCCTGAAGGGCAGGGAAGGCCCCAGCCAGGGCAGGGGTGCTGTGGGGAGGGGGAGGCAAGGGGAGCCAGCAGGCTGGGCGTCCGCCCGTGCGGCAGGAGTCCCGCCTCTGCTCACGCTTGTGCACGCGCGCACACACACACACCTGCCTGCACACCTGCCCACACCTGTCCACACAGCACCCTTGCTCACGGACTCACACCCACACACAATTACTCCCATACGTGCACGCAGCTCGCACACGCAGCTCTGTGGGGCCTCCCGCCCTCGGTCCCTCGGGCCCAGGCTGGGCAGCCCCCAGGACAGGATCCCCGCCCGTGCGCCGGCCCAGCTCTCCTGCTGTGTCCAGCCCCACATGCAGGGGCACCCTAGGCCGGATGACTCCCCGGCCTGTGCGGCCGACGCTTGCGGGACCCTGGGCTGCCGGCACTCACCGATGAAGGACACGGCCTTGGTGTTGATGATGCCGCTGGGCAGCAGGTGGAAGTCATACTCCCTGCCGTCCACCACCACGGTGTGCCCGGCGTTGTTGCCCCCCTGGGAACAGAACCCCGATGAGTATGCGGGAGCCTCAGGGCTTGGCCTGCCCGGGAGGGCCTGTCCAGCCTTGCTCTGGACCAGCTCTGAACACAGGTGGCTTAGGGCAGTGGTTCTGTCCCCCAGGGCATGCGGGACACTGTCCACACTTGGACTTGGGGCTCTGGAGCCATGGTTGGCTCTGATGCACGTCTGGGTGCACCGGGTCACCGGCGCACGCCATGGATGGGGCACAGAGGCCCGGCCAGGGGACTGGCTTGGAGAGGACCCGGGCTGGTCCCACCCTCCCTGCCCCCTGCCCCCTGGCCCAGGACCATCCCATGGGCCCATGCTGATGCCCTGAGGAGGCTGGCTTGGCACAGGTCCCCTCTATGAGCCCCTCCGGAGGGCCCTCCTCTGATGCAGGAATTAGGGGTCAGCCTCTCCGGGAAGCACAAACCCAGGCCCCCACAGCCCAAGCTCCCTGGCGGCAAAGGTTGGGCTAGACAACACCGTTGTCTGGGACGGGGTGAGGGACAGGTGTAGCCATTGGCCGCAAGGCCGGCACCCCCAGCCCCCTGAGCAGGGACCACTCCACCTGGGCCTGCCATCTAAGAATAAAAAGGAAAACACGGCTCTGAGTCTAGCTCTGTCCTGGGGGACACCCGGGTGACAGGGTCCTTTCTTTGTGGAACTCTTGCTGATAGGGGCCTGGGGCTGGCTGAGGGGGTTGGGGGAAGCCCAAGGAGATCCAGCCCCAGGAGGGGTGCCCAGCCTGCTGTTCCCACCAACAGAGGACATGGTGGGCCCCCCCAGTGTCCCGCACAGGACCCTTGGGGGCTCCCCTGGGTGGGGAGGCATGCTGGCCTGTGCCCATGCCCTGTGCTCAGCCCAGCCCCACCTTCCCGTCCTAAGTCCCCGCAGAGACACTGGCTTATCTACTGGGCCCCTCCAGGCCAAGGCCCAGTCCTTGCCACACCCCACTGTCCTCCTGCTTGGAAGAGGAGGGCCCTGGGCTGCAGGCTCTTGGTGGCCTTGGTCTTGCCCATTCCAGGCAGGGCTGAGTGACGGCGGCCACCTCCCCCCATCTGCCAGCCGGGAGCACCTGTTCCTCCCAGAGAATCTGGATGAAATTTATATCTCCCAGTTCCTCCACCCAAACAGCCCAGGCAGGGGGGTGGCAGGGCGCCTGGGGACAGCAAGGGGCGACAGCAGAGACCCCAGGCCCAGTGGCTTTCGCTCCCGGACCTCACGTCAGGCTTCAGTACGTGAAGTAGTGGGGTTAGGGTCTGAATGCGTCTCCCCAGTGTCCACAGCGCCCCTGCTCCCCATCTCCACCCTGTGAGCTCTGCCAGCTGCCCAGGTGCTCCTGCTGGAAGCCGGGTCCGCGGAGGGCCCCAGACGCCCGAGCACTGCGGGTCTGGAGTGCGCGTGGACAGTCTGGTGCGTCTGCTCCCGCTGCCCCCGACATGGCGTGGAGGGCGTCTCTGACAGACTCCTGGGGTCCCCGCAGTCCAGGCGTGCACTTGACACCCTACTGTGACCATGTCCCCCCAGCTCCCCGTCACCAGTGGGAGCCAAGCTGCCCTGGTGCTCCCAGGTCACTGGCTGTGGGAACTGACCGCAGCCTCTGAGGGAACGATGATAGATACGGGTGGGCTGCGGGGAGCAGACGGGAAGGACAAAAAGGCCTGTGGGGGCCTGGGAGCCCAGGGGGGCCACCCCACGAGCAAGGGCGGACAGGCAGCTCTGGGCCACGGGGGCTCAGGACGGAGATGGTAGTGGCAGGTGAGACGATGGGCTGCTGCAGAGAGGAGATGTGGGAAGGGACCCCGGGGGGGGTGGCTGGGGTGGGGAGAGGAAGAGGGCGGACGCTGATGGGGTGGGGGAGACACGGCAGGGGAGGTGGTAGGCTCAGAGGCGGACCCCCGCCCCTACCCTGCTCTGCCCTCACCTCGACATCTGTCCGCTGACTCCCCTCACATGGGCACCCCAGCCAGAATCGTATCTTGTGCGAGGGGTGCTGGGGGCGTGGTCTCCATTGGCAAATGGGGGGAACTCAGGTCCCAAGAGAAGGGAGTTCAGGGCAGGATCCAGGCGGTCTGGGACGCAGGACCCCTGCCTCTCTGCCGATGCTTTCCCCCCACAGCGGCTTCGCACCTGCCACAGCTGGGCTGGACAGCCCCCCTCCCACCGCCTCCTCTCCCAGTGCGCAGGGCCAGTGTCGGCTGGCCTGAGGACATGCACAGAGACCAGAAGCACTGTGAAGCACACCCCACCTCTGTGTGGGGTAAACACGGGCACCTAGGAACAGCACAGGCCACTGTGGCCCAGTGGGCATCAGGTGACCGAGGCCAGCGGCAGGGCTCAGGCCTCAGACCCCAGTCCACTCCCGGGGGGCAGGAGCTCACCCCAGGACGCTGAGCCCAGGGCCTGCTGACCTGCGGGGAGCATCTCCCAGCAGCTCTGCTGAGGTTCAGGGTGATGGTCCCAGAGACTGCCGTCCATCCTTCCCCAGGTGGCATGTGGGCAGGGTGTGAGACGGGGGCAGGAACCCCCACGCGCCCTCCTTAGGCTTCAGCCTCACTGCCACCGGCCCCTGCGGCCCAAAGAGGACCGGCCCCGGGGGCCTTTGGGCTGGGGGTGCAGCTGCCCCAGCTCCAGCCCAGTTTGGAAAACCACATGGAGGGAGGAGCTTGTCCAGAGTAGAGTCCCAGTGAGAGCAGGTGTGAACATCCGACCTGGCCTGGCCCCTTTCCCTCTTGGGCGACTCAGCCTAGAAGGGCAGGCTCTGGAGGTTCCACGCTCTGTGCCCTGAGAGAGTGAGCGAGGACCGTCCTGGAACTCAGGGCAGCCTGGGGCGACTCCCAGATCTGTTTCACCGTCTGCCCCATGGCTCCCTGGAGCAGGCCTCCCCTTACCTTTGTACCCCAGGGGACGGGCCAAGTCAGGCGGGAGCAGGGCACAGAGGGAGGGCTCGGGGTGGCCCCTCCAGGGCTCTGCCTGCCTCCAGGTCCTCCCTCTGTGGCAGAGCCTTGGGTCAGGCCCAGCTCCGGACCCACCACGGACACTGAAGCCACTCCGGCCACCCTGCCCAAACCTTACAGAAGCCCCAGCCACCTGCCCACTGGAGGCAGAAAAGGGGGCTCTCACTCCTGGACCCAGGAACAGGACCAAGGCCAAGGCAGGCCCACTCAGAAACCTGGGCAGCTCTGAACCTTCCTGGCCCTGCAGAAGACCAGTGGGCTCACTCTCCTTGGGACCAGGGAAATCGGGGCCCAGGCGCAGGGAGCCCTCCCCAGGGACTGCCCAGTCTGAGATACACACAAGGCCCGTTGTGGCAGTGTGAGTGGTGGCCAGGAGCCACAGTGCAGACCCCCTCTCTGGTCCCCACGGGGCAGCAAGAGTGCACGGCCTCAGCCACCCTCTTGGGCACCTCGAGGCCTGTGCAGCCCTGAGAGCCAGCTCTGACGTCCCCACTGGGCCCCAAGATCTGGTGGACAGACAGCCTGTGAGAGTCATCTTCCCGGCCCCCCTTTTATGCTGCCTTCTGGGGAGCCCCTGAATCTGCTGGGGCCGTTCGCAGTCTGGGGGACCTGCTCCTGCAGCAACAGGGCAGGCGGTGAGGCTGTGCAAAGGGTAGGCCTTCGGTCCCCAAGTCGGGTCAGGCACCCACGGGCGCAGGCCTCAGGACAGTGAGGGGTGAGCTCAGCCGGCTCAGAGGGTCCACTCGCTGGTCGGGGCTCTCGCCCCTCCTCGGAGGCCACGGGGTGGGGTGGGCAGCGAGTGTGCCCGGGGGGGGGGCAGACTGCGGGGGGCTCAAGGGTGCCCCTGGGGCGCCCACCCCACTCCCCAGGGCTGCGACGTCTCCTCAGGGCTCCCTGCGGAGCACATTCTGCAACCCCTGTCTCCCACACATGTACCCTCGCACGCCAGCATCTGTCCCCTTCCTGCCTCGGTGCACCAGCCCTCGTCCTGAGTGCCCTGCCGGTGTCAGTGTGGATGGCCTTCCACTGACCTCTGATCTGCCAGGGGCCCCACCCCTCCCATTCTCCCTGAACCCCCAACAACACGCGTCTCCACACTGTTCTGGACGGCTCCTTTGGCCACCGTGCCCTCGGCCCTGATTCCCAGGGAGGCACTAGCCTGGTCATCTGTCCCGTGATGCACCCCCCAGCTTCGAGGGGCTCTAGGCCCGTGAGCTCCAGACTCCCCCTCTCCCCAACATTCTTGATCTCAATTCTCTGACAGCCCTGCCCGCCCCTCCGCAGCCACAGAGCCCGCTGGCCTCCCCAGTCCAGCTCTCGGAGTGGGAGCAGCTCGTCTGCCCGTGTCCATCCCCAGCCCTGGTCTGAGCAGGGGAGGGGAGCAGGGAGCAGAGCAGGGGAGGGCAACAGGGGAGGGGAGCAGCTGCTCCTGGCCAGCCCCGGGAGCAGTAGGGGTCCGGCTGAGTCTGGGTCCTGGGTGACACACGGCAAGCGGCCTGCTCTCAGGGTGGAGATGCTGGGGACCCGACCTGAAGTCCACCCACCTACACAGTCCTTCCCTCGCCTGCTGCCCGCTGTGGTCACTCACTCAACCCCACGCAGAGTGGCCCTGGGCTCAGCGCCGCACGGGGGTGGGAGGGAGAGCTCAGGGGCTCCAGGCAGGTGACAGCTGCCCACTGCAGGCGCTTCCACAGCCACCAAGAGCTGTGTTAGCTGGGGGTGCCCCACCCCCAAGCATCAGAGAACGCGGACATGCAGGGACGCCTGCTTCTGGAAGCGACAACAGGCTCTCCCCACCCCTGTCCCATGGAGGGCCCTGACCAGCTGGGGGTTCGAGGTGAGGCTCGGTATCTCCTGATATCCATGTGGCGAGAGAGGTCCCAGAGCCCCCACGATCTGCAGGACATGGCCCTTCAAAGAGTGAGACCACCATGTACTGAACCGTAGCTCTCCATCAGCAGCTCGAGGTCGCTGGCCCTTCCTGGGGCGTGACCTGGATGGACACGTGCGCCACCCAGATGGGTGATCGCACGTAGACTGTGGTGAAAACCGAGAGAAACACAGCACCCTTGTACTGAACACGGTCACCCATGGAACCATGGTACCATGGATGCTGCCGTTGCAAAGGAGAGAATTTTAAATCCTAACTGTGGCAGTCCTGGCCAGGGTGGCCCAGAGCCTTCTGGACAAAATAACTTTGGAAATGGAGGAAGGGCTGGGCGTGAGCAGCTGGCTACGTGGGCCTGGGGCCGACTCCAGGCCGGGGACAGAATTGAGCAGCGGGAGGGAAGAAGAAGACAGAGCCCAGGGGAGGTGTGCGGACTCCTAAGATGGGAGGGCAGAGCTCACAGCCGGTGTGCTGGCCCCAAGTCCCCATAGAGAACGGAGATGCCAGCAGCGGTCCCCAGGGGCGCCGTGACGTGGCCCAGAGGGAACCTGCACCGCCATAAGCCCAGGGAGGCCTTCCCTGCCATGCCCCGACCCCAGGTGCCCCACAGCAGCCCCCACAGGCCCAGAGCGTGGGACAAAAGGCGGCTAGGGGTCCTGTGGGAATGGCAGGGAGGCGGGATGTGCGCGATCTTTCCAGTGAAAAGGGGAGGCTGCCCCGCAAAGGACACAGAAAACAGCAGGACAGACCCAAGCCGGAGACCCTGGACAGTCGGGAAGGCAATGGGGGAGTCCCGGGGTGCGGAGCACAGGCCCCGCGTGACTGACAGGGAAGAAACCAGCTGTGGGGGAGCAGGTGGGCCTGGCTCTAGACCGCTGAGGGCCCCGAAGGGCTTCAGAGAGGTGCTGAGTCGGAGCAGGGAGGGGATGGGGGTGCGGCCGCCAGTGCGGGTCAGCAGAGGCTGCGTGGAGTGGGGCGTCGGCTGCCACTCAGGACAGCCCTGGGCCCAAGTGACAGGCCAAGTGGCACTTCTGGTCACTGGGGCTGGCCGGTTTCAGCCCTTCCAGGCAGCCACCCAGAGAGGACTCGTGCCCACTGCACACGCCCCCTGCCCGCTTCCCGAAGCCCCTGCCCCCTGCTCCCGTGTGCTGCCGGCTCCTGGGGTCAGGGCTGGGTCTGGCTCTGTGCGCCCACAGCCGTGACGTTGAGCGTCGTGGCAGCTTCCCCAGGGCCAGCGCGGGGCCCTCACTGCACATGCCCTGACAGCCTGTGCGGTCTCCGTGGGTGGGTGGCACACGTGAGGGCCCGGGTGGGCTGCTGCTTCTCATTCCTCAGCTTTTCTGGGCCTCCGTGTCCCTGCTCCACCACACTGTCTGGAGGCTAGAGGGAAGAAGGCACCTTGGGCTCCCAAGACAGCCCCCAGTTGTCCCCACTGTGAGGTCACCCGGGGCTCCTGCAGAGAGCGACACATCTGATCTCAGTCTGAGAAGTCAACTAGGGGCGAGGGTGCCCCGTGGGCCCCCAGGTCAGGTGACGGGGCTCCCGCCTGTTCTGTGCTTGGCTGGTCCTGTCCTGCTGACCCATGCGGCAGAGCAGGGAGGACCCACGCCAGAGCCATTTCCGTGGCCAGGATGGCCTGCAAAGCCCTCTGGGCTCTTCAGAAGGGAGACGGGCCACAGACAGACTTGGGAGGCTCGCTGGAGCCAGCAGGTTACATGGAGGGCGGTGGCACCATGTGCCCAGCGGGACAAGGGCTCCTGGCTCAAGCAACAGGGCGCCCGGAGACCGCCTCTGGCTCCTGAGGGCTGTCCGGGCCAGGATGGGGCTTGCTCACCTGGCTTGGGGCAGAAAGGGTAGGAGGTCTATCAGGCTGGGGTGCACCTTCCAGAACCCACTGTCTGTGTGGGACAGGAGTGACCCAGAGAGCGGCTGAGCCAAGCGTGTTCTCTGAGCCAAGCGTGTGGCCCATTTCCTTCCCTGGGAGTGGGCCCGCACCCTAGCCTTCCTGGCAGGAGCTGGGAATGAAGCCCCACACCAGACGAAGAGCTCAGGGGGTGCTCCTTCCCCATCTGGGGCGGCATTTGTGGGCACGGCTCCAAACCCCACACAGCCAAAACATGCACCTTAAAACCGGCCCCCTCTGTGCCCTGAGCTCTAAGCCCCAGCGCCAAGCATAGCTCTCAGTCCTGGCACAGGGGTGGTGGCCCCAGGGAGCAACCCTGAAGACAGCCCACAGCTGGCGTGGTCACCCTGGGCCCTTGGGTACAGAGCCCATGTCTGGCCTCCCTGGTGGCACTGGCAGACACTGGGTCACCCTGGCCAGCCATCCATGGCCACCCCCCTGCCCCGAGTCTGGCCGGGGACCCTCCTTGCCCCTGGCCTGTCTTCCATCTGGTCCTAGTCCATGGTCCTGCCCCTGCCTCTGTCTGCTCTTGGCTGGCCCCCCAGGGCCACCCTGTGGTCAGCCCCGTACCAGCCCCAGACAGTGAGGAGGGAGGGTGTCTCAGACCAGCCAGGAGCTGGGGCCCCCACCCCACCCCCACGCCGGAGGGCCCAGCGGCACACCCATGGCGCACCCCACCCCACTGCCTGGAGATCCGGTGTCCCCAGCTCAGCACAGGCATTTATAGCTCCGCCCTGGCACACGGCCTGGAGGGGTGGGGCTGGGTGGGGAAGGCAGTGTGGGGAGTGAGGGGGGAGGGGAGTGTGTGCGTGTAGAAGGGTCCCGTGGCCTCCGAGGCCGTCCAGGGAGGGGAGGCATCCAAGAGGCGTGTCCAGGTCGGGGAGCGGGAGGACAGGGCCCAGGTCCAAGGGGAGGAGGGGGCTTGCTGGGTGGGGGGGGGCCCGCACCTGACAGCGGCTCACGATGTCGGCGTCCGTGGCCAGCAGGTCCACCACCTTGCCTTTGCCCTCGTCCCCCCACTGCGCGCCCAGCACCACGGTCACCCGGGAGCCGGTGGCCGCCGCCTCCTGCTGCAGCCTCCCACGCTTGATGCCGCCTGAGCCCGGGGGCCGGTCGTTGGAGGCGCGGGTCCCCGACATGTTGGTCTGGTTCCTCAGCTGCGCTGGGCCACGGGAGAGCCCGGCCGCTGTGCCATTAAAAGGAGCCGGCCCGGGGCCGGGGGCGGGCCGGGGGCGGGCCAGGCTGGTGCAGTGGCGCCTCTTGGTGACCTCCAGGCTGCCGGGTCCCGCCCCTGCCCGCCCAATCACCACTGGGGAGCCGCGGCCGCGGGCACCCACTTCTGGAGCCGGGAGCACAAGGACAGATGGCCAGGTTCCCCCGTGGGGACTCGTGGGGACACCTGTGCCAGTGGGACCTGGGTACCCACTCCCCTGGGTCCTCACCAGGCCCGGGACCTCAGGGTTTTAGAAACCTGGGGTGGGGGCCCTCTTCAGGGTGAGAGGGGGAGCCACGACCTCACACCCCACTGGGGGTTTGGAGGGGCGCCTTCCTGTGGTGAAGCTCGGTCTGCCGACGCACACGCTCTGGTGGGGGAGGACAGCACGTCCCCTCCCCAGCACCCCCACCCACACTCTCGGGCTCAGTGTCCAGCAACGACGAGCAGTGGCAGGACCAGCATGCCGGTCTGCGGCAGCTGGCAGGCTCCACGACGCCCCGCGGCAGACCCTTTCCTGGCCCACCTCTGGAGGGTCTGGGCTTCTGGAGAGGATTTGCAACATCTGCTGGGCTCCTGCGGGGCCCACCCTGCCCCCCAAATCTCCCGTGTGGACTCGGGTTTGGACATGGCTGGCCCCGCTGGGATTAGGGGCCAGGGATGGACCCCTGTGGGCAGGAGGGTGCTACGGACCCCTCCCCCCCAGGGCCAGGAGACCCTGTTCCCTCTCTGGTGGGGGGACTGTCTTCAGTACAGAGGGATCTGGAGCCCAGCAATTAGCCTGTGACTCCGTGGGCTCCCCCAGGGGAACCAAAAGTTCCCACAGAGGAAGAGAAGAGTCACACAGAGGTCACTCATGGAGAGTCCCAGCAGAGGAGGGCGCTGTCCGCCCGCCCTCCTTAGACTTCTCCTGTTCCCTCCCTACAGTCCCCTGGGCTCCCCCTGGGACCCTGTTCTCTCCCATGGGGACCCCACCGGTTCCTTTCTCCCGGCATTGCTGTGGGGCAAATGCCATAATGCTAGCAACAAGTGGGGTGGGGGTGGGCTTCCTGTCCTTGGCCTTCCTGGGGGACAGCAGCACCCTCTTGCCCACCTGTGGAAGTGGCTGAACAGAGACAGGATGGCCGGAGACTCTGGGCAGGCCGGGGCGAGCAGGCATCGGCTGGCCAGCAGGGGCTGTGGCCAGGGTGCCTGGGTGTTACTGGGGGAAGGCGGTGGGAGCGGACCTGGGGCACAGACGCTGGCCACGTAGATGAGGAAAAGGCGGCCTGGTGGCCGAAGGGAGCAGGAAAGTGGGAAGGGCTGTGGGCTGCCTCCTGTACGCCCACGGAGGGGCGATGGGCTGGCGTCCCGGTAGGGCTGGGTGCTAGCTGGGGCCCTTCGGGGGAGCGTGGGGCTCAGGAGGCCACCATGGGGGTTCACACGGGATCTGCAGGGCCAAACGGTGGCGGGCAGGGCCAGCGACTCCCCCAAGCCTGGCTCTATAAATAGCTAGAGAGCCTGGTGGGGGGGGCGGGCTTTTCTATAAACAGCCCTGTCCCTGCGGGCAGCTGGGCCTGGCCTGTCACACGGCCTTGCCTGAATTAGAACATGTCCCCCATGCAGTGGCCTGTGCGCCATGGGCCTGTCACCAGGGTCGTGGCAGCTCAGGTCACTGAGGGTGGGGGGCTCCCTGTGGGAGTGGGGTGGCCTCAGCCACCTGGGGCTTCCATCCTGGGCCACAGTGCGCCATGGGCCACTTCATGCTCGGTGGTCGCAGACGTGGACACCATGGTCACCGCGGGCACAGGCGCTCACGCCCTTGAGGACAAAGCAGTGCCGCTACTTCGGGCACCTCACAGTTCCGTGAACGGCCACCGACTCGCGGCTGATTCACACGGGAGCTCCGCCCCCGGGGCTGTCCACGCCGTGAGGCCCGCCCGCATGGCAGAATGCCACTCTGCCAGGAAAGGCGCAGAGTCCTGACCCACGCTCCAACGTGGTGAACCCCGCAAACATGCTGCGTGGGAGAAGCCGGCCACGGAAGGCCACGTAGCGACCTCTGTTTATAGGAAATGTCCACAGAAAGCAAATCTATGGAGACGTAAGCAGACTTGGGGGCCGGGGGAGGCGGCACAGGGCGTGCCCGTTAAGAGAATTCGGGGCACGATGGAGTGTTCTAGAACTTAATCTCTGTGCTCGACGGCTGTGGAAACCCGCTGGAGTCCACAAGTGAGATTTTTGTACAGATGTGCTGGGCTCCCCACGCCCCCACACTGGCGTCTATAGGGCACCTGCTCCGGCCTGGGGCCCGGGGGGCTCTGGGGCAGTGGGCAGGCCAGGACAGCCACGGCGAGGGTTATTGCCCGTTTGCCCGCCGCTCCTGAACACCACGCAGCACTCCCTGGGCCAGATTTCTTCTTTATTGGTCTGAGCCTCTCCGTACGCCAGCCTCGGGAGCACAGACATGGGGCAGGGGTGGGGCGGGGGGGGGGGCTGGCCACCCCCAGGCTTGGGTCCTCTCCTCCTCTTAGCCTAGCAGGGGTGGAGCCCAGTCCCTCTGGAGGTGGCAGCAGCCATAGCCACAGCGACGATCATTCTGGTGACAAGGCGGCCAGGCCCGGTGGCAGCAAGGGCTGGGCGTACAGGGGTGGGGCCAGCTCCACAGGATCCCCCACCTGTTTGCTGGGCAGAGGGACCGCGCCGGCCAGCCTGCCCCTGCCACAGGCCCGGGGGTCCTCCACCCACCTATGCCCAGCTCAGCTACCGCAGAAGAGCAGATACGGAAACAATCCAACTCAGAAACCGCCCTGCCCCAGCCCGGGTAAGTAGGCTGAGGCAGAACTGGGCGCAGGGAGCAGGGCACCGGGGCTCGGTCAGGAGGCAGTGGGCGGGGGTGTGGGGGCTCCAGCTCTGCCTGGCTCCCGTGGCTCTGTGGGGAGAGGTCTGTGAGGGCCCATCTCCAGAAGCTTCCGAGCGCCAGGGGGCTGGAGGGCAGGGCAGGGCGGAGAGGCGCCCTGGGGACGCAGCTGAGGCTCCTCACCCCTGCGGGCAGTGCCGTGGGGCATGCGGGGTGTGCGCACCAGCGTTCAGAAAGCGGGCCACGCGGGGCTGGGCGCGTGCAGGCTGTCTGGGAGGGGGCCGGGAGGCTGGGCGCTGGGGCCTGCTAGGGTCTCAGCCAGAGCACCCCAAGCAGCTCTGGGAGGCCCCCCTCCCCGGAGGGTAAGGCACAGAGTTTTGGTTTCCCAGGGGCCCGGTTCCAGCCTGGCCCTGGAGGGGCCCAGCTCGGCAGTACCTCCGGGGACCCGCCGCGGTGGGGCCGGCCGCAGCTCTCTCACTTGGCTTTGGGCTTAAGGCTGAGGCCTGTGGGAAGCGAGAGGAACAGCATCTTTAGGAGCGGACTTGCTGGGACAATGCCAAGGCGCCTGCCTCCAGGTCCCCAGGCTCCTGTGGTCCTGCCACCACGGCCCGGAGGGCTGCACTGCGTCTCTCTCGGTCCACGCTGACCCCAGGCCCTTGCTCTCCAGCAGCAAGACCCTTCCAGGTGGAAGTCACCGGGATGACCCCCCAGCCTGCGGGCTCCTGTCCGCCTGCCCAGGCCGGATCCCTGGGCCTGCTCTCCCCACACTCACCCCCACCAGGCCCTGCTCTCCGCCCGCCACCCCACTCCCGTCAGGCCCCGCTCCCTCTACTCTCCCTTCCCCACCCCTGCCTTACCCCCACCAGGCCCTGTGCCCCACCAAGGCCCTTCTCTCTCCCCCACCAGGCCCTGCTCTCCCCCCACTTCTCCATTCCCCGCCCCCCCACCTGACTTCACCCCTCCCCCGAGGGCCAGGCCACACTGCCCGCCCCCATCAGTCCCACTGCGTCTCCCTGAGCTTCCCGACCCGACGCCGGACGCCTCCAGACCTGTCCTTTCCCAGCGGCCACAGCTCCTTGGTTCCTGCCACCTGGACGCCCCCTACCTGGCCCTGCAGGCCCCCTGCCCCCCAGAGCCCTCTGGTCCAAGGGCCCCTGTTCTGCGCTTCCACGCTGATGCCCTGCCCGCCTGCCCCCTCCCACCCCAGCCCCCACCCCCGGGTCCTGAGCAGACGGGAGAGACTATCGTGCTTGAAAAAGATGGGGCAAAAAACGGGAGGCAGAAAGGTCAAAAGTCACTCGGAGCGGGGTTTCTGTCCCTGCCCCCCAGGGTGCCAGGACCCCACACAGCAGGGGCTCCCACATCACCGCCTCAACCAGGCAGTCGGCCTCCAGGCCCTGGCCTGTGGGATAATGGGCCCTGAGCCCCTCTGGACCTGCTCTGGGGTGGACTCAGGTCACGTGTGTGGAATTCTTGCCCCAAACACGTGAGAGCAGCCTCACTTAGGACACCCCGGGGGCCGGGTTCGGGGGCCGGGCGGCAAGATGTCTTGAACCTTCCAATCCCTCAGTGAGCTGAGAGCAATGCCACAAATGCTGATAATTTTGCTAGTTTTGGAAAGTTCTTGCCGTTTCAGGGTGAAGGACACGTGGTGGTCGTTATGGTCTCGCAAATTCCCTGTCTGGTGGCTGTTTTTCCAAATAAAAGCTTGAGAAGACAGAGGGTGGGATTCCCTCCTGCTCCCAGCCAAGGGGATGCTGGGGCCCGGGGAGGGGAGCGAGCGGGAAGCAGCGGACTGCTGCACCAGAGGATGTGGGGGCGGTCCTGCAGGGGCGCAGAGCCGTGCTGGGCACACCAAGCTTCCCCTGGACCGTGGCCACACGTGGCTGCCGAACCCCCAAACCCAAATACCCCCACGGCCCCACTCGCTAGTGTGCGCTGGCGTTTTGCACCCGAGAGCCAGGGTCTGAAAGTAATCCCAGCAGCAAACTCGGGGACTGAGGCTAAAGCCCATACCGAGAGTGAGAATAAACCATCCAGAGGGTGCACTGACTTCTCGCCTGCCCTTGCTTCCTCTGGGCACTGCTGCACCTCTCCTCCATGCCCCGGGCCCTCTGGGTCAGCACCGAGCTGGGTGCAGGTGGCCCCCTGCCCCCAAGAAAGCGGATCGGCTCGCCATCAGCACGGCCCAGAACGCAGCAGGGACCCCAGGCCTGTCTGTCTGCACCTGTGAGCCTCTCGGGCCACATCCGAGACAACCAAGGTCCTGCCCATCCTTGGGGTCCTGGGAGGCCTAGTGCTGTGGACCCGGGATGTGCCTACAGACCCATCTGCAGTCCCCAGGACCTGGCTACCAGGGAGGGGAGGCATGTCCATTCCTTGGAGAGGGCCCGTGGCCCGTCTCTTCCTGGCAGCTGGGCCTTGGGGCTGCCTCTGTCCCTCACTGCCTCCCTGGGGACATTTGTGGCCCAACCAGAGCTGGGGTGTGCCCTGTGGAAGGTCTCAGAGCAAAGGTTACCACCCTGGGAGATAGAAGTCAGGAAAGCCCCAGGTTAGCCGGACTGCTTGGGGCAGAGGCGACCCCCTCCTGCCTGTCCCGCTCGGAGGCCCCCCCACACTCCTGAGGCCCCTCTGCCCGGCGCACAGTTCCAAGGTCGCGCCTGGCACACAGCGGACACCAGCTAAGCGAGGCACGGCTCCCGCCCTTCCAGAGAGGGAGGAGAAGGCAGAGGGCCAGGCGGGTCCCAGCACCAGCAGCACAGGAGGGCAGGCTTGCCAACAGGCCCAGGCAGGCTGGAGGGAGGCAGGTTAGCGTCTAGGAGGGGCTGGGCGCGGGCCGGCCTCCGCGGCCACCGTTAGCGCAGGACACCAGCATGAGTACCTACCTTACTGGATCACACAGAGTCTTTTTGTTTTATTATCGTCAGAGTCAGGGACAACCTCTGCTTTCAAATAAGAGAAATGCACTCAACGGCTTATTCCTGGCCTGCCCTGAACTCGGAGCTGGGGCCGGGCTGCCGGCCGCTCGGGCTGTGTGGACACGGAGCCAAACCCGTTGGGCCTGGGGCAGCCCCGGGCTACACCCGCCCCAGCTGCCGCTCCCTGCTAGGGACAGCATGAAGCAGGAGTTAGGGGGTTTGGGGTGTGGGGACAAGGGCAGCGCTCCCCCAACCAAAGTTGCTCCTGCCCCGTGTGGAACGGTGGCCGTCTCCTCTCCTGCAGGACGTGGGGTGTCCTGGGAATCACCCACTCTCGGGAGGAAGAGGAGGGAACAGCCAGCGGCAGTGAGAGGCGGGGGCCCTGCTGGGGCTGGACGAGCTCTGACCACACACCGGTGTCCCCATGCTCCATGGGCCTTGCCTACCTGGGAGCCCTGCTTCGGGGGACGAGGAACGATGGGAGGGGAGCCCCAAATTACCTTCCTGGTTCCTCGAGGGACGCTTCTTCCTCCGCTTGCCCATCCTCTTTGAGGCCTGTCCCCGGGCCCTGGGGAGAGTGCCGGACCCTGAAGAGTCCGTGACTGTGTCCTCAGAGAAGGACCTGTCCAAGGATGTGTCCAGTGCAGAATCTGGGGCTGCTGTGTCCTCCTGGTCCCCATCCCCGTCCCCAGCCACGCCAGGGCCTGTGGCAGGGAGGTCAGCCTCCTGCGTCCCCTCCACGGTGCTGTCGGCCTCAGCCCGGCAGACGCCTTGAGGGGCTGTGGGGTCTTCGGCATCTTGGCCTGACCCCGTGGCCCCAGGGGGCTTGTCACCAGACAGCCTGAGAGGTTTCAGGGCCTGCGCACTGCCCAGCACCACTGGCCAGGCGCCCTGACAAGGCTGGGGGTTCTGGGGGTCCTCGGTGGTCAGGATGTCGCTGACGTCTGTGTACCAGGAAGAACGCCTCTCTATGGATCCAGGCCCATTCCCCTGTGGCGGGTCTGCAGTGGGCTGTGGGCTAGGGGCAGTGGCGTTGTAGAGATCCCAGCCCTGGGGCTCAGAGGCGGGGCCGCCGGTGCCTCCTGCGGGAACTCTGGTGGCCGCTGTGGACACAGGACATGGCAGCTGAGGGCAGGGCCCGACTCCCAGGCCATCCTGAGGACGTGCCCAAGCAGAGGGCCTCTGTCCATCCCAACATCTACCCAAATGCCACCAGCGCTGCAGAGCCCACTGCCCCAAGAGCCTGCCCTGGCGGCCCCAAAGTGTGGGTTCCCAGAGAGCAGGCCCATGGTGTGGCTGGGCGGGGGACACTGGGCCAACTTCATGCCCGTCCCAAGAGCCCCTCCACTCCGGGCAGCCACGCTGAGTGGAGCGGCCCCCACCAGGCCCCAGGCCCACCTCTCCCACCACCTCAGCAGCCCCGAGCCCCAAGACACGGGTCAAAGGCCCACGGCCCGAGGGGGCTGCAGGGAGCCCTCTGCCACCGGCAAGGGGACCAGAAGGCCGAGCTACCCGTCTAACCCCACCTCATGGCTGTGCCATTTCTCTGGTAGCAAGACAAACATGAGGGTTCTCCCATAAGGTCAGAGAGGGCTTCCTGGAGAAGGGGAGGTAGGAGGCAGCAAGGACAGCAGGAGGGAGACAGTGATGAAAGGTGGGAGAGGCTCTCACCAGGCGCCTTGTCCCTTGGTGGGTCCGTGGCAGCTGCCTTGCCGCCCCCCTCTGCGTCCCCTCGGCCCCGGGCCGTCTTCCGCAGCTGGAAGCCCTTCCTGATGTCCGCCAGCAGGGCGTCGATGACACACACTTCCTCCTGCTTCCCAACTCCCCTCCTGACTGAAAGGCCCCCAGACCCTCAGATAGGCTGCCTGCGGGTCCCTGGAGCCCACCCACGTGACCCGGAGACGATGACCTGGAGGGGGTGGGCGGTGCCCCCAGAGCTTCGAGGATGGGGGATGAGACCCAGCCCCTCGGAGGCCCCCCCTGCTCCTCCTGGGCCCCCCGAGCTCCCCCTGGGCCCCTGTTCTTCCTGGGCCCCCCGGCCAGGGCCTGGCCTCACCAGGCTTCCCGTCCTCGCCCCGTGGCCTCCGGGCCTCCTCCTCAGCCAGCTGCCGCTTCCTACTCTCGGCCTTCGCCGCCTGCTCCTTCCAGTCCTTGTTGTCCTGTGCAGGTGGACGGGGAGCCCGTGACCCCCAGCCCTCGAAGGACAGCACGAGCCCGGCACCCCGGCGATTCCAGCAGCTCTGCCTGAGCCCGGGGAGGGGGTGCGGGCCCGGCCCACCTTTAAGGCACGCACGAAGAGGTCCCGGAAGGTCTTCATGGTGCTGAACGTGTCCTCCAAGGACAGCCGCTGCGCGTCCTCGCACAGGTACCGCGCCAGCTCTAACTTCTTCTCCTCGATGGCCTGGAACACCTCATCCAGCGCCCGGGAGGCCTCGATGCTGGCCTGGGGACGGGAGGGCGCGGTCACAGCCCAGGGAGAGCCCCACAGAAGGCACCACCGGCCCTCAAAGGGTCACAGCCCCGGGGAGCCCTGGGGGCAGGGCGGGGCCGGGCTGCCGGAGGAGGATGGCCGCTGCCCGTGTCGGAGCAGGACAGGGAGGTCTGGGCACTGCAGGCCCCAGGCTCAGAGGAAGCCCCTCCCTTGCAGGAACGACCTTGGGATCAGGGACAGCATGTTGCCCTCCTACGGGGCCCCTCACCCTGGCCTGTCTTCCCCCACCCCCGGGAGACCCCCCAGCAGCTGCCTCCTGGCCCAGACCCCAGCCCGGCTTGCCTGGAGACGTCCGGCGTACTGCTCCTGCACCTCGGGGATGGAGGACGACACCTTCCGCTCCATCTCCAGAAGCTTCTTCAGGTTGGTGCTGGACTCTGAACGGATGAGCTCAAGGTTGATCCTGAAAACCCCAGAGCCAGGCGGGGTCAGGCGGCAGCTGATGTCCAGTCTTGCAGGGTCAGTGGAGGGGCCAGTGGGGGCCTTCAGCCTGCACACCGGCAGGAACGGCAGGGACACTGGACAGCACATCCACGGGGACACTGGACGGCACACCCTCAGGGTAGTGGGCGACAATGGGCAGCACACCCGTGGGGACAGCGGAGGACACTGGGTGGCACACCCACGGGGATGGCGGGGACAGTGGACGGCACACCCCCGCAGGAACAGCAGTGGACAGCGGACAGCACACCCGCAGGGACAGCGGGGGACAGTGAACAGCACAGCCGCAGGGATAGCGGGGGACACTGGGCTGCACGCCCTCAGGTTCTAGAAGCACATCAGAACTCTGGGAAGGGCCAAGCGGTGCCGCGGGTGAAGTGCTGGGACAGTGACCCCAGCAGCTCAGCCCTTCTTTGGCTCTCAGGCCTGAGAACCTCCCATAGCAGCGTGTACCTGGAGTTGGAAGGTCCAGGCCACCCTCCCTGAGCTGTTCCTCTGGGCTGAGTGACCCCAGGGATGCAGCCCCACTTGCCTGGGCCTCAGTGTCCTCATCTGTACAATGGGAGTGGCATGGCCTTCCTCACGGGCTGTTACGAGGCTCAGCCTTGTAAAAAGGTGGCATGAGACTAATGCCTGGTGTGACCACGACCAGGTCGCTCCCTATCGCTCCTAGGCCTCAGTTTCTTCCTGTAAATCACCTAGGAACACGCCACAATGGACCCAAGGTCCTATTCAGACGTGAAAATGACCGTTCTAGGGAGCAGTGGTTCCTGGGGGCCCAGCCTGGCCCAGCCACCTCACTGGCCAGGACCAGAGGCAGGGGTGCTGGTGGGGGCGCCGGTGCGGGTGAGCCCCGTGGGGGGGGCAGGGGGCACCTACCCAGCTGCTTGGGAGGGCTGCTCCAGGTCCTGGGACAGCTGCAGGAGATCTGGGTGGCCCTTCTCTGCCTCCTGCAACAGGACAAGTCAGGTGAGCGTGGTGATGGCCACACCCTGGCCCCAGGGGTGCCTGAGGGGCCATGGGGCCAGCCCGGGCCCACCTCCAGCACGTGGTGCAGCAGGGTCACGCGGCTCTGCTGGGACTTGGTCTCCGAGAGCTTCAGCAGCGTGCTGATCTTGAAGCCGTCGGCGTCCCCCGTGTGGCTGCCCTGCGAGGGTCCGGGTGCGGAGTGAGGGCCCCTGAAGCCCGGTGGGAGGGGGTGGGCATGGGGGCTGGGCATGGGGGGTAGCGGGGGCGGGGCCCACTTACATAGTTGAGGAAATTTCCAATTTTCAGGATCAGCTGGCAGAAGACAGGCAGCCGGCGGCTGGTAAGCAGGCCTGGGGGAGGCGCCAGGGCTGAGGGAGGGGTAGGTGCTGCGAGGTCTGCAGCTGTGGTGTGGGGGTCTTCCCTCCCCTCCCCAGGGTGCGGTCCCCAGGGTGGAACCCCAGGGGTTCCAGCCCCCACCAGGAGCAGGCCCAGGGACTCTGTAGTCCTGTACCCTCCCCACCCCGGGAGCAGATGACCCCTGGCCCCTCTCCGGGTATGATGCTGCTGAGAGGAATCTTCTGAAAGGTTGGAGCGGTAGCCTCCCTGGTTCTCAGCTAACCATCCCTTGGGGCTTCAGGGATGGTGGCTGACATGGGAGTGGATATCCACTATGTGAGTCCCTGCCCTGGGGCTGGGGTACATTCCTGCTTGACCCTCTTCTGGAAAGACTGCTGAGCATTCGCAGGCGTCCCTGAGCACGCCCCTTGACGTGCTCGCCCGTCTCTGTGTGTGTGTGCCCGCGCGTGCCCGTGCTACTGTGTGTGTGTGCTTGCCTGTGCCTGTGTGCGTCTGTGAACGCACACGTGAGTGCGTGTGCGTGGCGTGTGCCTTAGGGCAGGGGATGCGTCTACGGTGAGGTGGGGAAGGTCCGTGCCCCAGGACCACTCGCCGTGTGGATTCCGGCCCCGCCCCGGCCCCAGGGGGTGCTCCCCACTCACTGCAGCAGGCCGCGAGCACCAGCTGGGCCTTGGGCTGCACCATGTCCAGCACGACGGCCGAGCCCTCACACAGCAGCATGCACTCCACCCGCAGCTGGTAGCTGGGGACAGAGCGGGGAATCAGGGCCTGGGTCCCCCACCCACCCAGGGCCTGTAGCACAGGGACCTACAGCCTGGCCCTGGTCAGCGTGCGCGTTTCCAGGCCAGGTTCCAGATGGGGACTCCGCAGGACCGGAGTAGGGCCTGGGAAGGGGCACTTGAGACAAGCACCCACATGGGACCGGAAGACAGCTGTCCCCCTGCAGGGCTCCCCGCCTTCTCGGAGCAGGGGAGAGCGTGAATGATACGTGCGTGGCGCTCCCCATGGAGCCCCAAGGGAACGGTCTGCACAGTCGCACTCCCTCCTCTAGGTCTGGGCCCGGCTCCCCCGGCCCCATCCCTGCCAGTGGGGCCTGGGGTCCGAGGGCGGCCCATTCACCAGGGAATGCCCAGCAGGAGAAGGTAGAACTGGTCGGCGTTGGCCAGCTTGGCGCGGTCCTCCGTGAACGAGTGCAGGTTTTCGATCTGCAGGGAGGAGGCCCACGCATGGGATTCCAGCCCCCATCCCCTCCCAGGAAGCCCCCGCACCATCCGGCACCTGCCCATGCCTGTCCCGCCAGGGCCCACTCATGTCCAGCACAGCTCTGTGTGTCCATGGGTCCCCTCCTCTTTCCCTTGTGGGGAGCACTCCGGCAGGGCCGGCAAGGCTTTGCCCCACTCACCTCATGCTTTTCGGGAAGGAGTTTGAGGAACTGCTTAAGAACCTCCACGTCGAATTTGGTGGTGTCCCCAGCCCGAATCATGGCAGTGACATCCTCATTGGAGCTGCAGGAGAGAGGGCGTGGTTTCGGTGGGAGCAGAGGAAGCACCGGCCCCCTCCTCTGGGCTCCTGGGGGACCCTGCTGGTCAGGGACTGCCCTCAGCCCATGACCTCTTTGCTGCTCGGGCCCAAGCTGCAGGGACACAGAGAAGGCAATTCACTTGCCTGGGGTCATACAGTAACGTGGCTGGGGGCTGACTCCCATGCTCCCTGCCTGTCAGGGCACCCCTGCTCCTCCTTCCTGGGGGCTGCTCAGGACCCAGGCAGGCTCACGCATGCCCAGGGAGCTCCCTGGCAGGAGCCCGCACTCAGCAGCTGCAGGGAAGGACCCGGGGGCTGGGGGCACTGCCTGCTGCGGTCTGGGGCTCCGCTTCCCCAAGGAGCAGGCTGGGGCTCTCCAGGGCCCCCAGTTGGGGCGGTCTGGGGCACCGACTGGCCCCAGGGAGGGGGAGTCGCACTTCCCAGAGTGCCCCCTCCTTCCCCCGGGGCCTGGAGGGCACTGCGCAGCCCTAGATGGCAGGAGCCCTAGATGGCAGGAGCGGGGAGGGCAGGGGCTCAGGCAGGACAGGCTGCTCACCATTTAAACTGCTTCAGGAAGATGTTGAGGTTCAGGCTCTTCTTGGAGTCCAGAAAGGTGATCTGGAAAACACCCCGCCCTGGTGTTGGTACCTGCGGCCGCACTGAGACCCCCGTACTCCCCAACCGGGCCAGGCCGGCCCCACCTCCTTGGGCTCCTTCCTGGCGGGGGCGGCCACGCGTTCCTTGGGCTTGGCCTCGGGGAAGCAGAAGAGCCGCTCTATGCTGGAGAAGTCGGGCTCCACGACCTCGGCGCCCAGGCTGCTCAGCGAGGCCCACATGGAGCTCTGCTCTGGGGGGCGGGGTCCCCGGTCAGGCTCACGCCCGCCCTGGGGGCCAGGGATGCCCTCCCGTTGCCGTCACGCCGCGCGCACGCGGACGGACGCACGCGTGCCCGTGTCCCGGCTGGCGGGGGACCGGTCGTCTCGCAAGCCTCGGCCTTGACCTTCTCCGACCGAGCATCAGCACCCCGGGGCCCGGGCAGGGCAGGGGCTGTGGCAGCAGAGGGACATCTAGGCTTACCAGGGTGCGTGCGGGAGGAAGGGTCTTCAGAGGTGACCTCTGGCCCGTCCCCGCCCCCGCCCGTCCCCGCCCCCGTCCCCGCCCCCGTCCCCCGTCCCGGACGACCCAGGAGCGGAGCCCAGGGCGGAGACTAACCAGTCCCGCCCGCCGGCAGGGGGACCCTCGGCCCAGACCCCGGCACATACACCACACGCGGCGGGGGGCGTGCGCAGCAGGCCGGGTCCGCGGCCTCGGGAGGGCGGCAGCTCAGGGAGACGGGGGTCCTCACCTCGGGCCACGCTGGACGGCAGCTTCTGCCAGTTGAGCTTCTTCATGCGCAGGGCGGGAGCGAGGACTCGCCGGTGGCTGGGGATCGGGGCAGAGCCCTGGGCCGGGATCGCGTGCGCCACGATGATCTCCTCCCCCACCGGAGAGGCGCCGGAGGGACCCGGCAGGGGTGGGGGTGGAGGGAGGCCCCCGTCCTGGCCAGGTAGTGGGGGTGGTGGGGGGCACCCTGGGACCGGGAGGGGGGGAGGTGGGGGAGGTGGGGGGGGTGGGGGGGGGGGGGGGCCCTGCTGGGGAGGAGCCGGGGAGCGGGGGAGCCGGTGGGACTGGGGCGGGTTTCTGCAGCTGTGGGGCCACAGAGCTGTTCGCCCTCTGCACGGTGAGGTGCAGACCGCTGAGCCCGGCCTCCGGCTGCTGCTCCTCCACACCCGCCTTAAGGGAGCCACTGTTTTGGGGTGCGCTGTCCTTCCGGCTCTGGCCTAGGTCGGCCTGGACACTCTTGTGGGCCTTGTTCAGGGAACTCGGGCGTGGCCGCCCCTTGACGGACAGGAGCCGCTCTACCATCTCCTCCAGGGTGCACTCCTGGACTGTGTGGGGGTGTCCAGGGTCAGGGCAGAATGCCTGAGCAGGTGGGAGGGCGAGGGGCCAAGGAGGGATGCCCTCCCACGTGGTCTAACGCCCCACTGTCTGTCCGCTGGGCTGGGGTCAGGGGCACGCTGCCCCACCTGCTCACCATCACTGGCCAGGAGCACAGCCCGGTTCACCAGGTTCTCCAGGGCCTCCCAGAGCAGCTGGCTGGAGGGCAGGGTGGGCTCCAGGTACAGGAGACCCTGCAGCACGGACAGCAGCCGGGCAGATGCCGGGGAGCAGCTCACCTGGGCGGGGAGGAAAAGGATAGGTTGGTATCTGCGCCCTTCCCGGGGCAGGCTGACAACAGCAGGCTTCCGACCACCAGGGACGTCCGCCCCATCACTGCGCTGTGCCTCGCAAGGGCCCTGCACAGGGGCTGGAGCCGGGCTTCCCAGACTGGTGCACAGGTGACTTTGGGGGTTAGACACCTCTCCATGCTAGCGGCGGCCCTGTGTGTGGTGGGAGGTGTCCTGGCATCCCCGGTCTCCACCCACCTGAAGCCAGTGGGACCCCTTGCCCCACTGAGACCCCCCGCATGCGTCCAGATGTCCTGGATGTCTCTTGGCAACACTCGTCCCCTGGCTGACAGCCGTGGGTTCGGTGAAGGGCAGGCGCTCCTACCAGAGAGGGCCTGAGCTGGACCAGAACCCGGCCTTCTGACCTCCTGCCGGTCCAGAAGCCCCTGGGGCCATTTGAGGCCGTCTGCCGGCTGGAGCTCGGGACTGCTCAGCTACCTCTGATCTTTGGGACAATGTCCTCGAGGGTCCTGTGGCCTTGGCTCTGGGCCTGTGCCAGCAAAGACTTGCCCCCGGCCCGCTCCGGCTCTGGGCTCATCCTGTCTCCAGCACCCCCGGCCCCTCACTGCTCCCTGCTGGGGCACCAGATCCGGCCCTACGGCTCTGGTCAGGGTGGGGTCTCCCGGGCAGGGAAGGCAGCCATGGCGCAGCCCTGGACCCCCGTCTCTGGAGCCAGTTCCCTGGGAGCTTGTACCCCGGCTCACCTTGTGGAACAGAGACGCGAAGACCTCCTGATGGCTAGTCATGTTGACGCCCCCGCAGATGCGCAGGAGCTCCTCCTCGTCCTCGGCCTTGGCCTCCTCGAAGGCCTCCAGCTGGATCAGCAGGTCGGCGTCCTCCAGGTCCCTGGGGCAAGAGGGGCCGGATGGGCTGAGGCTGCTGCCCCACTCGCCTCCCTCCCAACCCTGGACAGACGCACAGACAGCCCTGAGCGGGGCGTGCTGGGCTCATGGGCCCCGTAGCCGGGACAGTGGTCCTGACAGGGGCCTGGGAGAGGTGTTCTCAGCTGCATGGGTTCCTGGAACCAAGGAAGTTTGAGTTTCAGGAAAACGGCAAGCGCTGTTTAGCCTAAATATGCCGCATGCGCTACCGGGGATGGGCTCACACCAACGGGACGTTCGGTGTTGTATCTGGCACCCCCTAAGCTGCTGGGCCGGGAGGTTCTGCAGGGTGGCCTGTCAGGCAGCATGACGGATGGCAACCGTGATGTCTCTGGGACCTGGGTTCAGCCAGGCGGGCCCACGGGGGCTATTCCCGGAAGCCCCCTCTGCCCATCTGGAGGTGCTGCTCCGGGCCCAAGGGGAGGGTGAGCCTGGCTTTGGAGAACAGTGATGGGAGACTCACCGTAGCCGCGTCAGAATGTCCAGCAGCTGCAACCCTGGGAAGGGACAATGGGGTCAGCGGGCTTCGGAGGCTGCTCCGGTCACCCTGTCCCAGGACACTCGCATCTTCTGACACCTTCCCCTCCGCTCTCTCCCTGGGCTCATTCCCACCACCCAGAACGTCCATGGGGTGGGAGGGGGACCCTGCCATTCCTGCAGGTGCCAGGAACACTCTGGAGGGCACGGCCCTTGTCCCACTAAATGGCATGGCCAGCACTGGCAGGACTGGGGGTCAGCCTCACACTGAGAGCCACGCAGGACTCATGTCCGGGGCCCCGGGGCGGGCTGTGGCGCTTACCCGTGAACTCCCCGCGCAGCTGGGTGCGGGTGCGGAGGTCCTCGGGGCCCAGGATGATGGCGTTGACCACGCTGAGCAGGGTGACAACATAGGGCACATTGTCGCTGTCTGAGAGCTCGTTCATGATGACGCTGAAGCGGTACTGTTGGCTGCGCACCGTCTGCAGGGCGGGCGGGGTCAGCACATGCCCCGGGCAGGGTCAGCACACGCCTGGCCCGCACCCAGGTGCCCCGGGGCTCACCTTGTAGTGGTCCAGGGCGTCCAGGGTCAGCCCGTGGCCCTCAGGGGAGTAGATGCACAGGGCAGCCAGCAGCTCAAATACCTGCTTCTTGACCATCACGTTGGATGTGTCCAGAGCTGTGGAGGGCCAGGGAGACTCAGCGGGGGCCCCCCATCAATACCAGGCCTGGGCTCCTTCTGCTCCTGGCTGTCCTGAACCCACACTCCAGCTGGACAGGCAGGGCCCGTAGGTGGACACCAGGGGGCACTCTGCACCAGCCCACAGGCCACATCAGGGGCTGGCCTCCCCCTCCAGGGTCGCTGATCTCGCCAGGAATGGAGAGGCAGACCCTGCAGGGACAGTCTGCTTGAGCTGGGCCTTAGCTCTGAGAGTGGTTCCTGCTGGCTCTGGGCCCAAGGCTCACAATGGCACAGCTTCCCGGGCCAAGCCCATGACTTTGCCCAGCAGCTTAGGGTATCTCCTTGTCATCATGAGCCCCTGCCTCCCACCTCATCCCCTGCGCTGGGAAAGCTTTGGGGGTGTCCCTCAGCTGGCCTGCTGAGAGGCCACAAAGGACTCTACACAGGCATGTGCCCACTCCTATGGGCCGACCCACCATCACTCCCCCACCCCTCCCTAGAGCCCCAAGCATCAGGGGGACATGGTTGCTACCACAGAGCAGGACAGCCTGGCAGGCCAGGAACACAGTGGGACCCCTGCTCACTAAGGACCACCTAAGGTCATTCCCAAAGGTAGGAGACTAACACTGGGTGCAGCCTGGGGAGACTTCCTGGAGGAGGCGATCATGAGTGAGAACTTAAGGACTCAGCAGGTGCACAAGGCACAGAGCAGCCTGAGCAGGAGGTGGGGGCGGGGCACAGGGTGGGCAGGGGTGAGGTGTGGGGGGAGGTGGAGGAGCCTCCAGCTGCAAGTGCTGGCCAGAACTGAGCGGTGGCGACCTGTGAGGCTCGAGGGGCTTGCGGCCAGGTACAGTGTAAGCGGGGGCGCGTGGCTGGACGTGTGTTTTTGGCCCAGGTGAGTCCGGCTGCCAGGGCACGGACTAGGGTGGCAGGTGTGGGGGTGGGGGGTGCTGTAGGCCGGAGGTGGGGAAGGGGGCAGGGCACAAACAGGCACAGGGCTGGGCGGGAAGGCCAGGCAAAGCCACGGAACAGAGGGGGCAACTAGGTGCTGCTGGTGGACCATGGCTCCAGGCTGACCCGGACGTCTCAGACCTGGGGCGAACGGGCACCCGGTTCCTCCTCAGGAAGCCCTCCCGCTGCCCTCCGTGGCGCAGGGCCCCAGCCTGAGCTCGGGAGGCGTCTGGGCCCCCGGCCGCGGCAGCGGCTCACCCAGGGACAGCTGGCGCACGTAGGCCTGGTTGCTGAGGATGTACTCAATGCCCTGCTGCGAGTTCATGACGGCTCGCACGCAGCTGACGCAGGTGAGCTGCAGCAGGGCATCGGCGATGCGGGCCACCCCGCGGCCGGACAGGCGCGCCAGGGCCTCGAGCAGCAGGTCCAGGCCGCTCTGCTCCAGGAACTGCACCATCCAGCCGCCGTCGCTGCTCTCCAGGCGCTTGCGCAGGCCCGAGTAGTTGACCACGGACGGCATCTGCAGCAGCCGGATGCACAGCTCGGGGTCCGCGCTCTCCAGGTTGGCCTCCGTGGGGTCCGAGTCCTGTGGCCCCAGCTTCTCTTTGAGTGCCGCCCACTTGCGCTGCACACCCTCCTTCACCGACATCTTGCCGAACTGTGGGGCCGGAGGGAGACCTGCCGTGAGCCCCCAGCCCACGACGGGAGGCGGGGTCCCCCCCTGTGGTGTCTCCCTCCACCTGCCAAACGGGCCTGGGAGGGGGGAAGCTGTGCCCTCGGCCCATCAGGGCCGCCACCGTCCACGGGCTTCTCACGCGCCCCCCTGACGGACCGACTCCCTGTCCGCCTGAGGATCTCGAGGTGGCCACACCAGCAGGAACACCACTGACCCAGTGGTCACGATGCACCAGAACTGGCGTCTCTGGGGCTCCCTTATCTTGTCCCAGAGCACTTCCCCTGCCCCGGGGACAGGTCAGATAGGGAGAACCGGGAGCAGCTGTTCCAGATCCTGGGCACTTGGGGGCTGCCCACAGCCTCAGGCATGTGGCTGGGGAAGGGGCCGACTTGAGGGTCATGCCTGGTGCCCAACCCCCATCAAGAGCATGGCCAGGGCCCCATGGGAAATCAACCCTGCAAGGCCCTGGCCTCCGAGGCCCTCAGGTGGTCAGGCTGTATGGGCAGAGGACCAGATGTCCCCCTAAACCCTTGGCATGTGGGCTTTACTGGATGCAGTCTCAACAGGGGCGACCCCCCCTCCAAGAATGCCCCCCAACACCAGCCTTTCCCCAAAGGAGGCCATACCCGCTGTGCCTCTGTGCCTTTACCACACCCACCAAGCCACGCTCCTGGGGGCCCTTGGCGGTGACTCTGTTCTTGGCTAGAGCCCCTGGGGACTGGCCTCAAAGGTCAGGGGCAGGCCAGGCTCTCCTGCAACCATGTATGGCTTGGGTCTTGCATTTAGTGCGTGAGAAGGACGGCACGGAGCTGCTGAGAGGGGGCCTGAGAAGCAGAGCATGGGAGAACCGCCATGCCTCAGGCCCAGGACCTGGGCTCGCCATTGCCCACCCCAGCCCCCGAAGTTACAGGAGAAGAAAGGGTGGTACTGGAGAAGCCAAGTCACGTGCCCAGACCCCAGAGCTGGAAAGGGCAGAACCAAGTGAGCCTGGACCTCAGGCTAGGGGTGGAGAGAGGCTGGCCGTCCAGCCTGGCCTCCCTCTCAGGGCTGCTGGACCTAGAACGTTAGAGGGGGACTCCAGGGGCCATTGGAGGCCCTACAGGAGCTGGAGGCTGAGCGGGGACAGGAGACCAGAAGTCTGTCCCTGGCCTGGCTCACAGCGAGCATTCCCGGAGGCCCTGCTCCCCCTCTGCCTCAGTGAGCATCTTGGGTGTCCTCCTTTGTGCTCCCTGAGCCCCCGTCTCCCGCAAGGGATGGCCTGGCATTCCAGCAGCCTCTCTTCCATTTGCAGCCCCCCACCCAGGCCATGGCTGACTGCCACGCAGGCCCATGGGGTGCCCCAAGGAGGCGGCCTGGCTGAGGGGAAGAGAGGCTCCGGCCTGCTGGGACATGGGCTCTGGGCCCACTGGGCCACTCACCCTGCATGAGATGCACTGTCCTCACCTAAACCTCCGGAAGCGGCCCACTGGGAGCATCCCGGGAGTCTGTGGGTGTGGGCGTCCCTGTGGGGAGGGTGCGGCGCGGCGTGTGGTTAGCCCTTGTGACTGCCCCGTACCCCACGGTCCACTCACCCAGATGCGCAGGACCTTCCGGCTGCCTCTGCCCACCCACTCCAAGCCCTGCTTTGGGCTGCCCCTCTCGCTCTGCTGGCTTCTCGTCCCTGCGAACCGCTGAGCAGCCCTGCTACCCGCTGCGGCTCTGGTCCCTCCCGGGCCACCTCCCGGGACCGGGGCAGGGGGCCGCTCCCGGCACCATGAAAAGCACGGCAGAGTGGCCTTGGCACACACTGCCGCCCACCGTGGGTGCTGCAGCTTAAAAGAGGCAGCCAGGAATGACCCTCCCTTCCCCGCCCCCACACCCGCCCCACTGGCCCCAGTCCCTGTTTCCTTGGCACAGGCGGAGAGGCTGGAGCACCAACTCTCCCAGGCCAGGCCTCCAGCATCCTGAGTGGCTTCTCCAGCCAGGAGCCCCAGGGGTCCCTAGATGCAGGAAACAACCTCTCAGAGACAGCCCCACCTGGCGCTGCCTAGGCCTCCCTGTGCGCACCCAACTCACTGCCCCAGGAGACCCCACCAGCAGCCCCCTTGCAGGGGGTGATCAGCCTCGACTACCGGCCTGCCGACGAAGGATGCTAGTTGTGTGGCCTGGGGCTGAGTTTCACAAGCCGGTCCAGCCCCTCCATGCGTGCGTCCTACACGTGCGTAGACCAGTGCGCACGCGGCACACACACAAGGGCCTCGCATGCAGGCACGTGATCTCACACGGCAGCAGAGGATGGACAGACGCGCACGCAGCGTCCACACGGAGAGAACACCGTACGCCCACAGTAAGTGACCGCGCAGACGCGCGATCCAACTGGAAAGCGATCCCACCCTCCGGATGCAAGTGCCCGAGACCTGGTCCCCACCAGGAGCCGTTCAGGAGGGGCGGCCTCCGCCTGGCCCCGTCCGGGGCTGGCTGAACGTTGCTGCCCGGGGCCCCAGAGGGAAGCGGCCATTTCCCGCTGTCAGAAGAGCTCGGGGAACCACCCTTCCTGGCAGGCCCCGGACCTGCGTGGGAGGCAGAGGCCAGGCCGCTGGGCTTGCCGGCTGTGCGCCCGGGGACGGGCCTCTGCCCCTCTGCTCCGGGTCTGTACGGGGACAGGTGCGGCGGGGCTCCCAGGGGGCAAACGGGACCCAGCGGGCACCGTGGGAGCGCTCGGGAACACTCCGACACTGCCCGTGGGCGGCCCGGCCCCGCCCGCCGTCCTGCCCAGCCCGCGGCCACCGGCCAGGCCCGGCGCCCAGGCAGGACCGGGTCGCAGGGACCCTCCCGGACTCCGCCTGCCCGCGGTGGGGCGGGGCCAGATGCTCAGGAATGTGATCCGGCGCTCCCCACCCACGTGGGGGCGGGGCCGGCCTGCCGGGGGCGGGACCACGCGCTCAGGAATGTGGCCTCGGCCCCTCCCACCCCGCAGAGGGGCGCGGGAGCGCAGGAATTTGCATTTACGGAGCCTTTTCCGCCCCCCCCCAGCACCGCCGGGCCGAAGAGCACGACTGTCTCCCGGGTCCAGGCACCTGGCGCTCCAGGCTGCACCCAGTGGTCGGGTGGCTGCAAAATGAGGGGCGCTTCAGCACTCCCAAGTGTCCCGCAGGAGGTCCGTCCGTCCCCCTACACCAGGGGAGCTCCAGTGGGCAGGGGTCTTTGCAGAGGAAGATACTGGGGCTCTGACATGAGTGGCATGTTCCCCAATTTTCTTCAGCGCTCAGCTTTTTCAACCAATAAAGTGGGGTTCCCGCTGGGGCAGGATCACACCCTCCCCATCAGAGCTCTCCTGGGTCAGCTGAGCCGGGTGGGCTGCTCACCCGAGCTCACCCAGCCCACGCGGGACCTGGAGGGGGTACAGACACCCACCTGCCTTTCTGCCCGTGCCTGGCCAGCCCCGAACAGCAGTACCAGCTCCTCCAACCGGGCACCCACATGCCCGGGCAGCGGTGCTGACTCACGAGAAGCCACCGCCCCTGGCAGGCGTCTGTCAAGCAGAGTGTGCTCCTGGGGAGGGGACAGGGGACAGGGTCGAAGCTGTGCCCCCTGCCTGCCCTGAGAGTCCAGCGGCTGCCATGCAGATGGAGAAACTGAGCCAGAGAAAGAGGGCCTCCTGAGGTGGGCACCGAGCACCAGGCTGGGTCCTGGGCATGGCTGCTGGGAGGCCACCGCATGGATCCCCTCAGGTTTGGACAGTGTGGCGGGGTGGGGAGCCCAGACTAAGTGCCAGAGCTCGGCACCTTTGAGGAGTGGGTTTGGCCTTCTGTTCCTAGATCGCTGTGAGGGCTGGGGGACCCGGGTTGGGGGGGAGTGAGAGGTGGGGGGGCAGCGGCTGGGGACACGGGCACCCGGGAGATGGGCTGGCTGCTGTGGGGAGGCAGCTTCAGGGCAGCCCTGCCAGCATCAGCACAGGGGCTGGGGTGCTTCTGGGCCCAGAGCCAGTGAGGGCGCGGGGGCGGGGTGCAGAGAGTGAGCTTGTCTTCCTTGGGGAAGGCGGGTACAATGGCAGGAGCGGGGTTCCGGAACTGGGAGGCAGGGGCTGCCATGCTGTATTTTTAGCTCCAAATTTTTCCACTGCCTGGTAACTCTTATATTGCGTTTCCAGCAGCAAATTCCCTAGAGCTCAGGGGCAGCCGGGGCCGGAGAGATTGGGGGAAGCCCAATCTGGCCAGCGGATTCCTCTCTGGATTCCCCCCCCATCACCTTGGCTCCTTTTGAGCCTCTAGTGCACGCAACCCCTTCCCCACCAGGCTGTAAGCCCTCAGAGGACTTGCGTGGGTCACCCACCACGGGGTCATCCCAGGCTGGGGGCCCCGGGCACAGTGGGCCTTGGGGAAGGAGGAACAGCCGAGCGCCAACCCACCGCCCACCCACCCACAGGTACAGAGTGCAGAGGGCCCTGGCCATGTGGTGGTGTCCTCACCAGCCCCTGGCCCGCCTCACGTGCCAGGACCAGCAGCCAGCAGTCCCAGGACGGAGCACAGGACCTGTGGCTCCCAAGCCCTCACCTGAACGCACCCCCTGTGTGTGAGGAGGCCTGCCGGGCCACTGCCCACCCAGCAACAAGACAGGAGGGGCTGCTGGGGGTGGGGCGGATGGGCACCAAGACCTTCATGGCGCTGCTGAATTAAAAACGGAGACAGGAAGTAGGACATCAAGTCGTACTGTGTAGGATTTCTGCCATCCAGCATGTCCCACCAGACACACGCCTGAATGCTAACATAAGTTGCATCTGGGGTGAATGTGGTCATAATTAGAAAGAGGAAGAGCACAGTGACAGAAAAGGCCTACAGTCTCTGAAGGGCACTGGGCTCAGCGCAGGTCACCAGGGAGGCAGGGCAGAACGCTGCTGGTCTCCTCTGTGAGGCTATAGCTACGCAGGGTAGAGGGGGACCGAGGGTGCTGGGCTGGGCGGGCTGGCACTGAGAGCCCAGCGACCCTGCTGGTCAGGGAGGCC